GAGGGTGGCATTATAATGGTTTTATAAAACCCTCTTTAAAAAATAAAAAATTAAAAAAAAAACCTTTATTTAAGTTCACTCTTAGGAAACCCTTTCTTCTCGTTTAGCTTCTTTTAGTCTACTGTTGGACATGGCTCTCTCTTGTTGGCTCTCTCGTCTCGTATGGGACGATTTGCCATATTCGCCATGAGTGGCAGGTGGTATGGCAATTGTAGTACTAGACGTCGCACACTTTCGACGCTGGATCCTATCGCTGACCATACGTTTGGCGTAAATTTAGATAATACCACCGTATTTCAAGTACTTATTGCGACACCCACTGGACGAAATTGGTGACGAAATTTTTTTACACCTTTCTTACACCGCCACTACACATCAGTAACCACTAACGAATAAATAATAATCACTTTTTACGTGGTAGAACCATGCTGCAGCTACATTTATACTATGGTTATAGCACGACTGGGTCATCTCGACCAGAGAAGGACCACGTTGTACCTTAACACTAATATATATATATATATAGTCGTGGGGCTATACCACACTACACCTCCCACCGGCAAAAAAAATAAAAAATAAATGAATACATTTCTTTTTTTTAACTTATAAAAATAAATATAAAATATGTATATTATTGATATAAATTACAAAAATACAATGTAATTATATATTATTTGACCTAAATGTAAATTACAAAAATAAAATATAGGTATATTATATGGGTAGTTCGGGTGGCCAGATCCCTCTACCCCATAGTAATGTCAAGGTCACAATAGAATTGGTATGATGTATCATGCATACATACAACATACTTATTTGACATAATTAGGTAATTCGCGAAGATCTAGTATAGTTGCACATTCATTTATATTTTAAAATACTCTTGTCTTATTTATTTTTCATACTTTTTCATCTCATTCCTTATTTTCGAGCTAGGCCTTTTTATTATCTTTTTTTTCGTAATTCTTGTACGTACTTTATTTTCTTGATATTTTTTACCTTTAGCTAGCTTTATTTCTCTCTATTCACTTATATATTTATTTATTATTTAGATACCGAGAATAGTACTATTAATTCATTTCATTTATATTTTATTTCGTGATATTTATCTCGCGGGTACTTTATACATATGGGCCCTCCATTTGTTTGGGTATTGTATCACATTTTCACTACATTTATTTCATTTTATTGGTACATAATTTTTTTTTTATCATACTATATCAAGGTAAAACTGTACCTTGGGTTGTGCGCACAACCTTGAGGTCTACGTTTAAGTCATTTTAAAAGACTCCAACAATTCTCACGGAGGAAAACTAAGTTCTCACTATGATCCAACGAAGGATATGACCTCTATGTACCATTATTAAGGGTAACAAATTTAAGACTTCTCTGGTCCCCAACAGTACTAATATGAGTAAACTCGTTCACATCTCACTTGTACTGAAGGTATTGTTCCCTAGTACCCGTTACTTCCAATTTTATCATCCAATCATGGAAACATACCCTGCTCGAGGACTATATGCTTTACCAGTGATGGACGTTCCCGTATCTCTCTATTACTTATTTTTACAGGTCAACTTTTGTTATATTTATTTCTTTACATTTATAGTATTTATTAATCATTATTTATTGGTACCATAATTTTCACGTACACGGCTCGCGTATATACATGATTAATATTATGGATAATATTCTTATACAATTCAAATAAATTCTCATTTACCTCATTAACAATACATTAAAATTTATTCCGTATTTAATAGTGTCAGAACCACCTTAAAAATTAATCGATTATTAGGTTTTCCAAACTCTCAGCTGATCAAGCTGATTGTATGTATCCACATAGACGCTAATGTTCATAGACTTTCATAGACCCTATGTATCCACATAACGCAACAGACCACAGAGATGCTAACCTCCGATAATTTTTCTTTACCTTACTCTGACACTTACACACTATTAATATTTTTCATTTACAGTCACGTATTCCGTAACTTAGCCAAACATTTACTCACGTCTTTTACAAATTTATATCATAAAATAGTCTCGTATAATATTTAGTTTCATCGTTGTCGGTCAGGGATTGAGGCTCACAATATGGGCACAACAAAATTTAAATTAATTAATTGTATACATAATATAATTAAGTTTCTTAATCGTTTTAAACGAAGTAATTATTCATAACTACAACTAACTTCACTATTTTTTTACTAAAAATTAAAGACGGCTCCGTGGCGCAGTGGCTTAGCAATCAGTTGTTGCGCTGGGGGCCGCGGATTCGAATCTCGCACGGAACAAGTATTTGTATGGCTTACAAATAATTGTTCCGGGTCTGGATGTTTGTCCTTGTGCAATTTATGTTTGTAAACTGCCTCCACGACACAGGAGAAAATACTAGTGTGGGGGTAACGTTTTTTTAAAAAAAAAATTAAAATATAAAACCGAAAATAAATTATTACATTTCATATTAAGATATAGAACAAAGAAGTCAATGCAACGTAATAGTTTTCAATAACAATAACATAATCGCATAACGACATACAGATCAAAATACAAATTGTAATCCCACTCTTAGCAGCGCAAGCGATTTGAGACACCTCTGTTTTAATTAACAAAGTACGTATGTGGTAACGTTTGCGATTACATCGTATTATGATCACCTAATTTGAACGTAACTTATACAATGTTATTACATACATAATATGTGGATACAAGTAAAATGATAGTTTTAAATTCCTTATTTACACAGAATTTCAGACACATTACTTTTGCTTAGATCGAAAAAGATTGCTAGAAGTATGGTATTTACTATATCATTTACAGAAAATAAAAGTATAATTACTGTAACACATAATATCAACTTTACACAACAAAACATTAAATTATTTAAGCATTCAAAAAACCAAATTTAATTTTTAAGTAGGTTTATGTATGTAAGTATAACTTTAAGGTTCACTGCCTTTATAAAAGAAAATAAAAACTAATACTTATTAACAATACTGAATTGTTTTTAAATAATATTTACTACAGAAAAAAACTACGAAATATATCATATTTTTAAATAAAACTAATTTTACGGATTTTATCTATAAGAAATTATTATATTTCATCGCTTCATTCTTCAGATATAATATTAACAACGTAGTTTCCTTATTCTACAAGGCTAAGTCGCATCTTTAAAGATTTTTACTCTACCCCCATTAAAGAAATTGTCCCTTCCCACTAACGCCTCTCGCCGTCCGAGCGTACTGCCTCATTCCTTTTTCGTGCGAGGCAGAGTGCACACCTTACTTAATTATCTTAAAACAGTAAAATGTCGAAACGCAGTGCTGTAGACAAAATTGGTTATTACCAAAAGAAAATCAAAAATTGGAAGAACAAGAAAGAAAACGATATAAACGGGTCATTGTTTACTCCGATTCTTCCGATGCCGAAGAAAATGTTGGTAAGTGTTACCGTTACGTAATTCGTTTCTAGTGCCTGAGTGATCCTTTAAAATATAAGTTAAGACTAAAAACCTTAGCGTTGATCGTGAATCAACACGAAGACAAATTTACCTGGGGACTGGCCGCGAGTCAGTACGAAGGTATCCTAACCGGGGGGCTAGCCGAGAGTTAGCACGAAGGTTATATAAACTAAAATACACATGTACGAATATATTAAAGTGCCAGTTTCTAAGTTTTAAGTTGTGATAATTTATATTCTTATTATAACAATTTTTTGTTATCTACCTCCAAAATATACAATTTAGTTCTTGTTGTAGATAACGAAGCTGAGGATTGTAATAAGGTTGTAAACGATGACACCATGGTAACATCTATTCCTTCCGAGGAGCATCCTCAGTTAACAACTGAAGATAAAGAGGAAGAAACAATTCCTACATTAGACCATGAACTATTGTCAGCTTTGGGTGATACGGATAGTGACGAGCAAAAATACGGTGAAAATATTCACCAGGATCTTGCCCACCGTTGGCTTCCTCTTCTACGTAAGGGTCTTACTAAGGAAACAAGACAAAACTTGTTAAAAGCGTACTTAATTCCCGAAAACTGCAAGCTTTTGAGAGCACCTACGCTGAATCCCGAGATTGCAGCGGCACTTACCGATGCAGCCCGAAATAGGGACAAAAAAATAGAGGTCGATCAGCAAAAACTGGGCTTAGGTATTACTGCCGTTAATAGAGCTATGTCTTTACTTCTCATCGGAGACAATAAAGTTCAAGCGATAAAAATTTTATCTGATGCTTGCCGTATATTATCCGACCTCCATCACTCTGAGACTCAAACCAGAATAAAATTGGTGACACCCGGATTAGACAAGTGTTTTCTTAAAATCATTCATGAGAGTGAAAGAGATGAAACTCTTTTTGGCAATAACCTTCCTCAAAAGATTAAGGCGCTAAAAGCCATCGAGAAACAAGGTCTTCAGATCAAGAAAACAGACCCTAAACCTTCCACATCACAGATAGCAACAAGTTCGTCTTTAAGAGACAATCGCTACCAGGGAAACTGGAGATTCCCTTCCCGCTCCCAGAACAAGAGGGGGCGGGGAGGGCCAAAGAAGTCATCGGGGACCCGCAGGGATCATCCCTCTCAGGTGTATCCACAAACGAGGTCTTGGAGCAACAACAAATCTTACTATGCTCCAGTTCAGCAGTAAAACTGGTACATGCGGGAAGATTACGATATTTTTATGACTGTTGGTTAAAATTAACAAAAAATAAAATTATTTTAAGATGGATTCGAGATGGCTTTACAATACCATTTAATAGACAAATTACTCAATGTAGATTACCGCATTCAACTTTGTCAGCAAAAGATAAACAATACATTTCTATAGCTATTAGTAATTTATTAGATTTAGGAGCAATATCAAAGTGTTATCCATCAAATAACCAGTTTATATCCTCAGTTTTCTTAGCGCCTAAACCTAACGGAGACAAAAGATTTATTCTGAATTTAAAGTCCCTTAATAAATTCATTGAAAAATCTCACTTTAAAATGGAGGATTACAGAACGGCCTCAAAGTTAATACCGCGTAATGGTTACATGGCTACCATTGACCTACGGGAGGCTTACTTACTAGTGTCAATTAAGTCGAGTCATCGCAAATTTTTAAGATTTCAATTTGAAGATGAAAATTTAGTTAAAACCCTTTATGAATTTAATGCCATGCCGTATGGCCTGTCCATTGCTCCTAGAACATTTAGTAAGATAATGAAAGAGGTAATAACCAACTTAAGAAGCAGGGGATATAAGTCTGTCATATATCTTGACGATATTCTTTGTATAGGTAAAGACTACAAAGAATGTTTGGATAATGTTAACGAGACTATGCGTCTTTTACAATGCTTAGGTTTTGTTATTAATTATAATAAGTCCTGTCTAGGCCCACATATATCTTGCAAATATTTGGGATTTATTTTTGATTCCACGGAACTTTCTATAAGTCTACCCATAGACAAACAAAATCATATAGCCCACTTAGTACAAAGGTTCTCTTGCTTAACTAGTTGTTCGATTAGAGATTTCGCTCATTTGATAGGTGTCCTGACGGCCGCCTGTCCTGGGGTAAAATATGGCTGGTTGTACACTAAACTACTAGAAAGACAAAAATACCTTGCGATTCTAAAATATAAGACGTACAATAAAAATATACAACTTTCAAAAGATATCTTACCAGATTTGCAGTGGTGGAGAAAAAATGTATTTTCAACCAAAACTTCATTTAGAATAACTAAATATAATTATGAGATATTTACAGACGCGTGCTTGACAGGTTGGGGTGCTTGTTGTAACAATATTCGTGTTGGTGGACGATGGAAATATAATGAACTCGAGTATCATATCAATTACCTAGAATTACTAGCCATATTTCTAGGTATTAAATGTTTTGTTAGGGATATGTCGGATTGTAATATTTTATTGCGCGTAGATAATACAACAGCTATAAGTTATATCAATCGAATGGGAGGAATTCAATTCCCCCATTTGAACGAGTTATCTCGATCAATATGGCAATGGTGCGAGAAGCGAAACATTTGGCTACACGCATCTTACATAAATAGTAAAGAAAATTTCGAAGCAGACCAAGAATCAAGGAAACTAAACCTAGATACAGAATGGGAGCTAAGCGATAACGCTTATAAGGAGATCGTACAAAAATTGGGGGAACCAGAAATAGATCTTTTCGCTTCTCGTGCTAATGCTAAGTGCAGAACCTATGTGTCTTGGAGACCGGATCCAGATGCCTTATTAGTAGATGCTTTCACTATTGATTGGAAAAACAAATATTTCTATGCGTTTCCACCTTTTTCTTTAATAATCAAATGTCTGGAAAAAATCACAAGCGATAAAGCCGAAGGTATTTTGGTCTTTCCTTATTGGCCATCCCAGCCTTGGTACCCAATGTTAAATAACTTACTCCGTTCAGATATACTGTTTTTCAAACCTCACAAAAATCTCTTACGGTCTTCTTCCAGAACTCCTCATCACCTGCACAAACAACTTACCCTGGGTGCAGCGAGGCTCTCAGGGTCGCATTTATAAGAAGAGGTACACCATCAGCCGCTCTTAACGTGATGATGGCATCGCTTTCAAAGAATACTACACTTCAGTATAGCGTCTCGTATAAGCTGTGGTGCCAATTTTGTCATAAAAATAATTTAGATCCTTACGCAAGTTCTGTACCGTCAATTTTGCTATTTTTATCAGAGCAGTTTAATAATGGGGCCGCTTACGGTTCGCTCAATAACCACAGATCGGCTTTGTCATTACTTCTAGGAGACTGTGTAGGTTCTAAAGAACAAATAAAAAGATTCCTAAAGGGCGCATACAAGTTAAGACCAGCCCTTCCAAAATATACTGGTACTTGGGATCCAAAAATTGTCTTAAATCATATTGGAGATTGGGTTCCCAATGAAACACTTTTAATTGAAAAACTCACAAAACAATTAGCAGTATTAATGGCATTATGCACAGCACACCGAGCTCAAACATTGTCTTTAATAAAGATAGACAATATTAAGATATGTTCTTCAGATGTTAGAATCAGCATCACTGACATAATAAAAACGTCTGCAGCGGGTCGTCAGCAACCCCTTCTAATTTTACCTTACTTTATAGAAAATATAAATATTTGTCCAGCCACGGCAATAAAAGATTACTTAGAAATTACAAATAAAATCAGACCCGCAGGTTGTCGGAACTTATTGCTAACATACAGGCGGCCACACAAGGCGGCCACTGCTCAATCTATCAGTAGGTGGATTAAGAACGTGTTAGCGGAGAGCGGCGTGGACGTGACTGTGTTTAGTGCACACAGTACGCGCCATGCTGTCACCTCAGCTGCTAGGTCCGCTGGGGTGTCCCTAGATACGATCAGAAAAACAGCCGGGTGGTCGTCGGCATCAGAGACCTTTGCAAAGTTTTATCATCGCCAAATTATTGACGGAAATAAGTTTGCAAGAACTGTCCTTTTAAATAATTAAATTAAAACTATTTGATGTATTAAATAAGATAGTTAGACAAGTGAATAATTGTACGTTATTTTGTTACGATTGAACTAATAAATGATATTTGATTGTTTATGATTTCTTTTTGTTGCTTAACGTAAACATAAGTTACCCAATAAGCAAAACTTTAAGCTCTAAACATCTACGTTGTTAATATTATATCTGAAGAATGATGCGATGAAATATAATATATGATCAAACGAACTTCTCCAAGTGAAGTTCGATCAGTATTATATGAATCGCTTCATTCGAAGATATAATTTCCCTCCCACCCATAACCCACAAAAAGTTTTGCTTAGAATAATATCTCTAAAAGAATGAGGCAGTACGCTCGGACAGCGAGAGGCGTTAGTGGGAAGTGACAATTTCTTTAATGGGGGTAGAGTAAAAATCTTTAAAGGTGCGACTTAGCCTTGTAGAATAAGGAAACTACGTTGTTAATATTATATCTTCGAATGAAGCGATTCATATAATACTGATCGAACTTCACTTGGAGAAGTTCGTTTGATCATATATTATATATCATATTTAATAATATATCAGTATTATTTTAACTATACGAAAAATTTATTGATGGTAAACCATGGTAAATTTAAGTACGTAAGAATGTAATCTACTATATTATTTCATTCGGTTTTTCAGGACATAGTAATAAAAATAATATAAACAATAAACAATAACCGAATAAAATTGAATATAAAATCGTCTTATGCCTGTATGTTAAAATATAAGTGCTTAAAGCGTAACTTAATTTTTAATATTGTCATATGATTGCATTTTTTTTTAGATCGATTTTATCGTGAATTATCTGATAAAAAAACTTAATCATATATTAAAAACATATGTAACTTTTTATAATAATTATAAAACTTTTTAAAGAAATCTTTAAAAAATGACAAAAAAATACGATGTTTCGATGTTACCTCAAATTTTCTTCTTTGTTCCTTTTGGTTCAATTTCGACATTCTTCTGGTTCTGAACGAAGCTTTCAACATTACAACCGTTTCTATCCTTTTTAAATTAATCTGCCGTTTCTTGAATTTTGCTCATTATATAAAAAATCACTTTTTATTTTCCTCTTAGTTGCCTTCATAGTACTATTTCATATACATTATACTTTTTAATTTTTCCAGTCACCTTCTGTAAAATTATTATTGTGGCCTCTTCTTGTATTCATATTTTTTTTTATCACATCCGGGTATATATTCCGTGTAGTCCGCGTAAATATTTATATTATCTTCAACAACTTTTGCAGACCGTGGCGGTGCGCGTGCATTGTAGCAGCTCACCGCCTGGCAGGGCCGCCATGTGATATAGGAAATATGTCAATGAAAAGAGGCGTGTTGCTGCTTCTATAACTTTAATTATAATGTTTCTTATTCTACCTTAACACTAATATATATATATATATATATATATATATATATATATATATATATATATATTCGTGGGGCTATACCACACTACAATGGGATTGTTTACTCGTTTGTCACCCTATTTCATAACATAACATAAACGTAAAACACTCACGCCACGTCGATAAACTTTCGCCTAGGGCGACCCTTCCCGACTATGCCGTTCACCTCTGCAACATAAGTTTGCTTTGTCACTCTTTCCTCATTCATTCTTTCTACATGGCCAAACCACCGAAGCATTCCTTTCTTAATCCTGGTCACAACATCATCTTGCAAACCACACTCTTCTCTTATTAAACAATTTCTCACTCTGTCATTCAGCTTCATCCCTAACATACTCCTTAATGACCACATTTCTACAGCATTTATTCTACTCTCATGCTTCTGCTGCTACACCCATCTTTCACTACCATACATTAAAGTAGGTACTAACACAGCATTGTGAATTGCCATACGTGCCTTTTTGGACACATTCTGACTCTTCACAATAGAGTGTAGAGCCCCATTAACTCCATTTCCTGCATTCACTCGTCGTTCTATATCCTTATCATATCTACCATTCCTGCTAAACACACATCCCAAATATACAAACTCATCTACTTGCTCTACCAACTCCCCTTCTATTCTTATTTCACATATCGTTTTACTTTCTTCTCTTTCAAAAACCATAACTTTCGTCTTACTTGCGTTCACTTTCATTCCCTTTTCTTTTAATGTCCTGTTCATTAATGTAACCATCATTTGCAACTCGGCTGCCGACGATGCAAGTATGACTTGATCATCGGCGTACAAAAGGCATTTGACGGTTAACTCACCCATTCTTAACCCGCATTCTTCTACTTTCAAATTTTCCAAACAACTGTCCATAAATAGGTTTAACAACCACGGGGAAGCCACACAGCCCTGTCTGACACCTTTATGGATGCCAAACCAGTCTGAGTAGGCACCGTTGATCCTGACACAAGCACTAGAGTCCCTATATAGAGACTTCAATGCCTGTATCAGACCAGCGGTCAACCCAAATGAGTTCAGTCTTTGCCATAACACATTCCTGTCCACTCTGTCATAAGCCTTCTCCAAGTCTATGAATGCACAAAAAACTTTTTGGTTTTTGGCCAAAAACTTCTCCGCGATCATGCGCATGGAAAAGACCTGAACCGTACATCCCATTCCCTTTCTAAATCCCGCTTGCACATCCCAAATTTTTCCATCAGTTTCTTTCATAACTCTTTCAATTAGTACCTTAGCATACAGTTTTCCCACAATGCTAAGAAGGCTGATACCACGGTAGTTTTTACAGTCCTGCTGTGATCCTTTTCCCTTATATATTGGGACTATCATGGCTTTGCATCAGTCTCCCGGTACCCGCTTAAGTTCCCAACATAAATTAAACAAGGTGTACAGCAGGTCTGCCACCACTCCTTCTCCAGCCCTTAGCATTTCGAGAGATACTCTATCATAACCGGCTGCCTTACCTGCTTTCATGCTTTTCATTGCTTTCATTATTTCATCTATACTTATATCTCTATCTATTTCCTCTTCTTTCGGAATTTCTATTTCATTTAATTCAAACGTCTCATCACTCATAAACACGCTTTCAAAGTATTCCTTCCATCTCCTTAAACTCAAAACTTCGTCATTCAGAATACAGCCATTCTGGTCTCGTATAGCATTCGTTCTAGGCTGTTGTGAATGTCCCCTGGTAGTTCTTACGAGTTTCCAGAACATTTTAATGTTTGCCTGGAAGTTATCCGATATTCTTCTATCATTCTTATCCGTTCTTTCTTGCTTTTTCCTTTCAACTACTTCTTTTACTCTCTTTTTTAGGTGTCTAAAGACTGCCTTTTTCCTTTCAATATCATCATTCATACTGCTATAATTACTAGCCTTGGTTGCTAGTAAATCTATAAAACCCTATTTCTATAAAAAATTAAACAGTTTGTTTTATAACGTGGGTGTAGAGTAGATATGTAAGTTCATACAAAATTAAAGCCATCATTAACACCGGTCTGCACCACCACTGCAACATAAAGTAAGTAAAAAGTCAGTGTAAGTTCAAGCTCTGAAGAACAAAATTCTTAGGGGAGACCATCCCATTATTAGGCACTATAATCCTTACAACATTACTAACAATACAACTAAAAAATGTAAGCATTCATATCAAGGATGGGTTACGACTGAGAGCGACTAGTATCTCTGTCTTTGCAAGCGATATCGTTGTGGATGTACTATCTAGAGCCACAATGACGGAAATAAATTAAACAACAACGAAAGCCTAAATCGAAGTTTCCGGAAGACTCTGCTACAGCCCAGGGCTTACCAGTTTGTTCGGGGGAAGATTTACTATTTCCCACTAGCCGAACCACCAAAAGCGTCTATCATCGTCAGAAGCCGATATCGATAAATACATTGTACTAACTAAAGGCTGCCGAGTGGGTCTAGTAAGCGTCAGGGCTGCTGTTTTGTGATATTGTCGCCATTATGTTGGCATTAGCCTCGGCTTCCCCTGACCGGTCTACATAGGTAGGTAGGTTCTACTATAGATTAGATTAGAGATTTCGATAAGAGCTGATAGGTTTGTCAGACATTTTCAATGACAGCCCACTCAATATGGAATGCC